GGGGGGGGGGGGGGGGGGGGGGGGAGAGGTTCAACAATTTCCAGTTACTTTTATCTGTATTTTTTGTGCCGAAATTAAGGTCAATGTTAATGCTGCATAAAATTGGATTGAAATGTTTCAGTTTTCACAACTCACTACTCATGGTAGGCAGCCCCCACACAAGCAGTGAAAGAGAGAAAGAGGATTTCTGTAGACTGCAATAGCCATAAATGCCAAAACGAAATCAATTCGCATCAAGTTTATCTGATGAGTCTCTTCGCGTGAGTCAGCTATCCAATTAAATGGGTTTAGGATATGCAATTAAGAAGAGCATCATATATTTTTGTACGCATACATACATATGTAAAATATATGGAATATAATTGAATAATAAACACATCGGTATATGGATAAATCCATGATCACCCATGTCCAGCTAATACAAAGGCTTTCATGGAGCGTATTGGCACCCGCAGTAGTAAATATTATTGGAATGGTAATTTAAATAAAGTGTTCTGCCCCCCTTACCTACAGTTTAAATGCATAATGATTAAATTAGAACTCTAGATGGCAGCAAAAACAAAAGTGCATTTCGCCATTGAAAATAGTCGTCACGTTCCAGACGATACATGACTCACAGTGGGGGTGTACACTGTACAGGTATGTACATATGTCTAGCATGTCTACCAGATTTCGACCACCCACGATGGTCGCCTCTCCCCTTCCTCTTGCCGAGCAGCCGGGACTGATTGATGCTGGCGTAACCTCGATAGAGTGTTTTCCTTAATAAACTCTAAACATTTGCTTTACATACATATTTATACACATTTCTCTCTCTCTCTCGGATGTAAACACTTATTATAATTTCTTTCTCGCTGTTTGTCGCTATCATTGCAGCTGGTACTTCCGCAAAATCAAACGCATTGAGGCTGAGAAAAAACTTCTACTGCCAGAGAACGAGCACGGTGCATTTTTAATTCGTGATTCCGAGAGCCGACACAACGACTATTCGCTATCAGGTGCGTGCCAAACAAGGCATTCGGTTACTGGCACTGCCAATTATAATTGTTATACTTTACTGTTCATATACTATATGCATATACTGTTAATGGTTTTGCAGTGCGCGATGGCGATACGGTCAAGCATTATCGCATCAGACAATTGGACGAGGGCGGCTTCTTCATTGCCAGACGCACAACATTCAGGTGAGTGAGCGGAGCTTAGCCATTGCTCATAGTAGTACAGTGAACTCCCGGAATGACATGTGAACCTTTGTAACCCCACAGAACCCTGCAGGAGCTGGTCGAACACTATTCCAAGGATTCCGATGGCCTGTGCGTCAACCTCTGCAAGCCCTGTGTACAGGTAAGCCATCGGCCAGATCGCTCCCATACAGCCATCGTTTGCTTTGGTTTAATCGCGCATCCAACATCCGACCTGCAGCCAAATGTGATGTGCATTTTAACATTTGCATTCAACATTGCATTTTTATCCCTATGTTTGTTCATTTCGCAATGCCCAACACGTGTGTACTAAAACTGTCTTATATTTTCCATATATTTCTTGCATTTTTCTTTAATTAACACCACAAATTATAATGTCTGTAAAACAATAATAACCAACAACAACAACTAACAATAACAATAACCACAACAACAACTACAACGAAACGATAACTCAAAACAAAAATAACTTAAAATACAAACTAATAAAAATCAATCAATCAAGACAAATAATACCTTTTCGGGTGTCTTTGAGGTAGGATTTCTATGTAAAAACGTTATCATGTGCGTTTATGTGTGTTTATTGCCCATTAACACAACAGTAACCGAAACCAGAATCCTCCACTCTGCTCTGTCACCCTCCCCTCACGGCGAACGAAATTAACCGATCATTTCATGAACTTACAATACTGCAATACTGTGTAAAATCCGATTGCAATGCCGAATCCGATTTTGCCAGTCTATCTCTATCATCACCACACACATCACCCACCGCTCTGCAGCGTTCAAAGTGCAATCGAGACAATCTATCGCATAGGATCCAATCCATGTCCTCATCCCCACCCAATCCCACTAGTAGTAATCGTGAATTAAAACAAACTTTTCACATCGCGTGTCTAATTAGTACCGATGAAACCAGTGAAGGGAAACGGCGTTTCAATTGCAGCAGAAGCGTTCAGAAGCGCATGCTTGACTTAAGGTTGAATTTTCCATTGATCTTTTGCACTTTGACTCACTGGCTTTGAACCCACCTAGTCCATAAACAGATCCAACAAAAAGCATAGCGCCAGCTACCAACCAATGAAACGGATTCTTTGTAAATAAGGCCCTAACCCTAACCTAACCTTCATCTCCACCCGGTTTTACAAATCTTTTAATCAAATCTGTCAAAGTATTTCAATTATGAAGTTGCCTACCCGTACCGATGGATTTGCACTTGCATAAGGAATTTCTATATATTTGGAATTTATCTGTGAAGATATGATGAATCCAGTAAATTGTATATTATATTCACAATTATTTTGCTCAAGTTCCGGCCATGCTCAACATGACACCCAAAGCCGAGCTACGTGTCTCAGTGGCGACACCTGGCGACATGTTCGGTTCAACTCAAGTTAATTCTGGCCACAGCCCCAAAAGTATGCCACAAATCAGCAAATACTGCCTCATGCGGATGGCAATAGATAAAAAGAAACCTCCCATATTAGTTTCATTTCGGTGCATGTACATACATACACACATATTTACATATGTATGCATAAGCAAGTGTTTAAAATCAGATAAAAGGGTACGCAACAAACATTCGTTTTCTCGATGTTAAAATTACGGTTAATTAATGAATTCTAAACTCATTGCTCAATTGGCACTATCATTACCATAATAACCTCAAGCCGAACACAAATGCGCTTTACCATTTGGGAATAGAAAATTCATTTACTAACTGATTTTTCTATCCCTCCCCCATTTCCAACCATCCTGACGCCACAGATCGAGAAACCCGTCACCGAGGGCCTCTCGCATCGAACACGCGACCAGTGGGAAATCGACAGAACTTCCCTCAAATTCGTACGCAAACTGGGATCCGGCCAGTTCGGTGACGTTTGGGAGGGACAGTGGAACAACACAACACCCGTGGCCATTAAAACTTTGAAATCGGGTAAGCTGTCTGAGAGATGTGAATCAAGTTCGAATGTGACAATGATTCTTTTCCCCTTTTGCAGGCACCATGGATCCCAAGGACTTCTTAGCCGAAGCCCAGATCATGAAGAAGCTGCGGCATACCAAGCTCATACAGCTTTACGCTGTCTGCACGGTAGAGGAGCCCATCTACATTATCACGGAGTTGATGAAGCACGGTTCACTGCTGGAATATCTGCAAGGTATGCTGGGACACAGCACGACTCGCAGCGTGCTCGCACATTTTGAGACATTCTTTCAGCTTGCCTTAACCAAATTTCGAAGAAAGACATTTTGTACATTTCACGCCACACTGCGGCCATTAGTCAAAAATCAAAGATCAAAGAAACAACCAAACGTCCGCCCGCTCGCTTATCATGTCATGACAATTGCTTATTTGTGTTTTTAATATCTTTTAGCCATTGCAGGCAAAGGTCGTAGCCTCAAAATGCAGACGCTCATCGATATGGCCGCACAAATAGCCGCTGGCATGGCCTACCTGGAGTCCCAGAACTACATCCACAGAGACTTGGCGGCGCGCAACGTACTCGTTGGGGATGGCAACATTGTCAAGATAGCCGACTTCGGTTTGGCCAGGTGAGTCTTCAGCCGTACGTCGGAAATGGACCGCAAATTAACATCCATCAATCTTTAAATCTTTTATTCAGGCTCATCAAGGAGGACGAGTACGAGGCGCGAGTTGGCGCCCGCTTCCCCATCAAATGGACAGCGCCCGAGGCGGCCAACTACAGTAAATTCTCAATCAAATCTGATGTCTGGAGCTTTGGTATTCTCCTCACTGAGCTGGTCACTTACGGGCGCATACCATATCCAGGTAAATCAAGTGACTAGCGCAATTTAACTAGAAATGGATCATAATCTAATCAAATGGCTTATCTCTTCAATAAGGTATGACTAATGCGGAGGTGTTAACCCAGGTGGAGCACGGATATCGCATGCCCCTGCCACCCAACTGCGAGCCGCGCCTGTACGAGATCATGCTCGAGTGCTGGCACAAGGATCCGATGCGCAGACCAACATTCGAGACGCTCCAATGGAAGCTCGAGGACTTTTACACCTCCGATCAGAGCGACTACAAGGAGGCACAGGCTTACTGATAAATGCTGATAAATGCGTGGCGAGGAGCAGGATTGAGGAGCTGCAAATGGTCGCCGGGCATCCCACAACGGACAATTTAAATTAAGTTACTTACTTCAGTTTTGCACAGATTTCTGATTGCTGCTCACTGCGACCATGAACCCATGGAGCCTATGGAACTTTTGGGGCTCATGGGCAGTGGCATGTCTTGGTAGCTCCATACCATACGATTCATGTTATTAGCGTTTAAGCTAACAAATAGTTGTTAAGCTGAAAAGTGAATGCGAATGCAAGTGCACGTGTAGTTTTAATTTGTACGTGCGAATGTTTTTTTGGTGGAATGCAATTTCAAAGAATGTTTTGTTCATTTTTTGTTGTTTATATATGACAAGCATATGGATAAATTTGTTTGGGCGCATTTGTGGTATTTGCCGATAAATATATCAAATGTATTATTATTCATATAACGCTATATACATAAATACATGCAAACACGCATACCGTGCATGCACACTCACACACACAACACATCTATATTATATATATAAACATATATACATACAATGCATCCGTATAGTCAGAGTTATACCTAGGATCCACCATTTATATTCTATTATGCCAACGCATACTTATCCTCAACGTACCCTGTTCTTCTTTAGTTTATAGACCAATCTGAAATCTGAAAACGATATTTGCAGCACACAAATAAATGCAACTGTTTTGCTTTTAGTTAATCCATTACGTACGTGTCTTACCTCCTTCTCCTCCTCAACATTATCAACGACATTAAACATGCGTATGCTTTATCACAAACAAATGAAAATTCAAATAAAAGAATGCACCACAAACGCCAATCATCGTCACGTGCTAGCGTACGCTACTTCGCTGTATGCGACAGCTAAAATCCATATGAGTAACGATCTAGAGTTGTAATTGTAATTGTAATCATTTAATTATATTATCTTTATAATTAAAACACAAACAAACGCATACACATGTACATGTACATTTAGAACAAAAAACCATTAAAATAAAATTGCTGCATAATTTATATAAAATACAAATCAACGCAAAATCATTTATATTGATGTAGTCTAAGTCACTCCTTAGCAATTCCTTGTTTGCATTTTGATTTGGTGAGTATTTTAGTTTCGACTGCATATGTAGGGGTTTAAGAGTTCTGCGAAAAATCAAGTAATCAATCAAGTGACTAAAATTAGTTTTATGACGTACACCAAAACCCGAAGAGCGCATGAATCGAAGGCTGATTTTAAAAATGTATTCTTACCCTAGTATTTATGAGTTCTTATGTAGTCTTTACACTCTCGAATCTGTCTTTGAATCTGTACTGTGCTGCACAAAAATATACGTATTGTATGTTCTCTACAGGGGCCGTACAAGCCACAAAAGCAACTTTAATCAAAACATACCGAGTTCAGCGAACTCCTCGACTTATTTTTCCAATTTGGTGAAGTGAACCATATAACATTAGAATGGATTGCTTGCTCTTTCCAACTTAACGAATGTCATATTGAATATGTAAAAAGGTACTATATAGAGCATTCATTGCAAGAGTCATGTATAACGACCGATTTGATCTTATAATATCCCATCCAAAAGTATATTGTAAGAACTTACGCAAAGAAACATACATACAAACATGCATACACATTCATACATAAATAAATATACACATATATGAATAAAGTAAAATAATTATTTTTAAAACGCATGGCTTTGATCTACGGTAGGCTCCATATACGAGCATCAGTCAGTCAGTCACTGTGTCCCCTAATCGATTTTTTGCCATACTTGATTGAATTTGGTCATTGTAAGTCTCTGGACTAGATCAGAGCTGAATGAAATAAAACGAATAAAACAATTGGACTTGTCCGAGAGCCCCGCCTAAAATGCCGCGCGAGTGTGCTGCACTTTCCCTCTCCCCCTAATGACAATGGACACGGGGACGAGGAGGGGGGTGAAGTGTTGTGCTCGAATGATTACAAATAAACAATGCCACTTGATAACGGCTCCACAAACATTTGAGAGTGAGTCAACAGTTGCCCAATACGACTGCGACAGCGGCTGCGATTGTGATTGCGAGTGTGATTCTCCCCTATTTCTTCCTTATAAGGTAATACTAGCCGCAACTGTTTTGGCTGTCACATGCTCCATTTGTTATCAATCAACGTGGAAATACCGCTTAGTCTGCTGGGGCGGGGTCGACGCCAGGCCTGATAAGCGGAGCGAAGCCAAGTGTAGTGGAGTGGAGACCATGTTGAGTCACACCCGCATGCGAGTCAGCAGCAGGAATGAGGCACAAGTTAGCCAAGTGATTGGTTATCAGGCGATTTCCTGTAAACCGATGGTTGTCGTTTGCTTTTGGTTAAAATTAGAAGAGGTTGCCTTATTAGTAGGCGCTTTATCGCCGTCGACGCCCTCGGCACGGCATACCATCCGAATGACCGCATACCCACAGCAGAACTTCATTTCCAACGATCGCTGGCTGGCCTTAGTCATGCCATATACGATAATACGATTACGTGAACATCTCGAGAATTGTAAATTTGCCTGGATGCTTCAGTTATTTCCTCGCTTTATTCATGATTTGAAGCGGTTACAAGTATTTTAATGGTATGGTATGTGTAGTTGTAATACAAATGCATGGAAGTAAAGTAAATGTTGAAAATGAATGAATGTGCACATTCACTTGAATTTTGAATAGAACACAATGAGGGGATTGCTTATGTGAGGAATGTAAAAGTTTGCGTGAAAAAAGTAGTTGGAATGCATTCATCTGGCAGGAGCTGGTGTTGTGTGCGCCTGCTGTTGTTGTTAATGTACTCTGCCAAATATTCATCCATGTGATGGCTGAGCACAGACAAAGACACCACCATGACCACGCCCAGCATCAGCTGTAGCCGCCGCTTCAACTTAGAAGCACTTGCGGTGAACAATAGATGGGCCAGACTCGTCGTACTCCTGCTTGGAGATCCACATCTGCTGGAATGTGGAGAGCGAAGCCAGGATGGATCCACCGATCCAGACGGAGTACTTGCGCTCTGGTGGAGCAACAATCTTGATCTTCATGGTGGAAGGAGCCAGGGCAGTGATCTCCTTCTGCATGCGATCGGCGATACCAGGGTACATGGTGGTGCCACCAGACAACACGGTGTTGGCATACAGATCCTTACGAATATCCACATCGCACTTCATGATGGAGTTGTATGTGGTCTCATGGATGCCACTGGCCTCCATTCCAAGGAATGAGGGCTGGAACAGTGCCTCGGGGCAGCGGAAACGCTCGTTGCCAATGGTAATGACCTGTCCGTCGGGAAGCTCATAAGACTTCTCCAGGGAGGAGCTGGACGCAGCTGTGGCCATCTCCTGCTCAAAGTCCAAGGCGACGTAGCAGAGCTTCTCCTTGATGTCGCGCACGATTTCACGCTCGGCAGTGGTGGTGAACGAGTAGCCGCGCTCAGTCAGGATCTTCATCAGGTAGTCGGTCAAGTCGCGACCGGCCAAATCCAGACGCAAAATGGCATGGGGCAGGGCATAACCCTCATAGATTGGCACAGTGTGAGAGACACCGTCGCCAGAGTCGAGCACAATACCTGTGGTACGACCAGAGGCGTACAGAGACAGTACAGCCTGGATGGCCACATACATGGCAGGCGTGTTGAAGGTCTCGAACATGATCTGAGTCATCTTCTCACGATTAGCCTTGGGGTTCAGGGGTGCTTCGGTGAGCAGCACAGGGTGCTCCTCGGGGGCAACACGCAGCTCATTGTAGAAGGTGTGGTGCCAGATTTTCTCCATGTCGTCCCAGTTGGTCACAATGCCGTGCTCAATAGGGTACTTCAGAGTGAGGATACCTCGCTTGCTCTGTGCCTCATCACCCACATACGAGTCTTTCTGTCCCATGCCCACCATAACGCCCTGGTGACGTGGACGGCCGACAATCGATGGGAAAACGGCACGGGGTGCGTCATCACCGGCAAAACCGGCTTTGCACATGCCGGAACCGTTATCGACGACCAAAGCAGCAACCTCTTCGTCACACATTATGATGTAGATTGATTTACTTCTGCAATGGAAAAATAAATGCCAAATATGTACACTTTAATCGACGCTCAACAAGAAAAGCACAGCTCTCATATACACTCTATGTATAAGACCCACTCTCACTCAGTCAGATACAACGCGCACGCACACTTGAACAAAGAGACAGACACAATTATTACCTTTTAAGGAAATGGAAGAGACGATTGGATGTTCGGTTTTCTGCTGCGGGCAAAGCTGAGCACGCTGAGAAGTAAGTTTTGCAAGTGGTGGATGGTAGAACCGACGCCTAGTTTTTGGGGGTAAAAAAGTGGTTGAATTCCGGTGTGACCAGCGTGAACGCGGAATTATCGATATAATATATCGTAATGGCCTCGCCAATATACCGAAATATACTTTTAATTTTCAAAATATACTGTAGATATACCGTAAAACTAAACTCATTTTCCTCGATTTTGATGTTCAATTTAATATTACCATCTGGTTAGGACTGTCAGTTTTAAAAATGTAATTTTATTCAAATCATCATTCGATTCTCCGCCGGATTCGCTGATTTTCTGATACATCTTTCTTCAATTGATTGCATAATAAAGGAGGGTATCCAGGACCACAAAAAGAAAAAATGCATGCCAAAAGGCTGGTATCCACCAGAACCACAAAAACCAAACATTTTGTCCAAACTTCATATAAAAAAAAACTGAGCCAACAATTTTTGGTCCGACTTTTTGTTTCTTGAGTATCCAGCAACGTTGACAAAATGTACAGATTCCTATCGATATAGCGATATAAGTAGACAGGCAAGAAATAAATGGTTGACAATTATTTCTGGAGTGTAATTTGCTATTTGGAGAGTCGAAATATATCGTCGGAGTCAAAAAAAAAATACTTCTCCCATGACTTCATTTAAAATTACATAATTGTACTGAAATTAAGAAATAAATAATTTATTATTTGTGCTCTTTTGGCAATAATGGGCGTTTGGCAAACCATATGCATATCAAATGCATTCTCAATTCAACTACCAGCTCATTTTGTAACTTTTAATACCGGTTTCCGACCCCATAAAGTATATATATTCGTCATCAGCATCAATAGCCGAGTCGATTGAGCCATGTCTGTCTGTCCGTCTGTACGTCTGTCCTTCCGTCTTGTTGAGCGCCTGGATCTCAGAGACCATAACAACTGTATGCTCACACTGTTACAAGTGTAGTTAAAAAATGAGACCCGCCCCCGCATAAGCTACAATTTTGAAGATAACTATCTAACAGATAAAATATCTATCAGATCACCGAATTGGGATCAGATAGGATTATTTTTATGGCCAGAATGAAGAAACTAATTTGGTGTGGCTAAACCCGTCCAGCAGCTTTTGTTGTTTTTTCCATATTCTCTCATTCACACTCTGCTTCTGCAGTGTGCGGCCCACGCGGCTTCACTCGCAGATATTTAGGAAAGGGGATGTGCAGGTACAGTCTACACTTATCATCTACCGTTTATAAATGCAAACGAGAAGGGACGTGTGAGACGCTTCTTACGCGTCACAACTTTTATACCCGGCACTCAGTCTACATCTGCACCTTAGCGGTGTTTTGTCCAATTTTAAATTTTTTCTTCAACTGTCATCTACATCTTCTCACGCCCTTTAGCTCGCCCCCCTTTTCTTTGGAGCCACACACTGTAGAGTCTCGGCAGAGGCAGAGGAACGCGAGAGGTAGATGCCGCACACTGTGTGAATGGGAGAATGTGAAAAAAACAAATATAAGCTGCGGGACGAGGTGGGTTAAAAGTCGGCAGAGTCAGCGGCAAGGGGAGGGCAGAGGCAGAGGCCGAGTGAAGCAGAAGCAGCGTGTGAATGAATGTAAAAAGAACAAAATAATCTGCTGGACAGGGTGGGTTTAGCCACTGCAAATGAATTTCTTCATTGTGGCTATAAAAATGATCCAATCGGATCCCAATTTGGTCATTCCCTACGGAATGGCGTTTTTAGTTTTCTTTTATCTTAAAAATTGTAGGTTTGGGATGTTTTCGCCATTTGTTCTTCGATTCTCAGCCCTACTCAATACGCTCACAAAATTTCATGAGAATCGGTCAAACTGTTTCGGAAGAGTAGGGGAACGTACATTGCGACACGAGAATTGTATATATAAGATAAATATTTATAAATATAAATATAATATGTTTAAATAAATATAAATATGTTATTTATATAAATATAATATAAATAATAATACAATATATAAATAAATAGAAATATATAAATATAAAAATATACAAGCAAGTGTTTAAAAACACCGCGCACTTATCGATCAAATATACCGCCAGACCCTCGGAAATATACCGCAATCTACCTTTTAATGCTCCAACCTCAGTATGTCGTATCCCTTAAATAATTGTTCTTGATATTGATGTTCTATTTAATATTACGAGATGGTTGGGATTGTCAGCGATAAGACTATAATTTCATCCCTTTCATCAATCAATTTTCCACAAGATTGGCCAGTTTTCATGACTTCCTTTTATTGAATTGCTTACAATAAAAGTATCTATTTAAATAGGAATATACAAAATAAATGACCATAAAACAAAATGCTGTTACGTTATCTAACCGCTTGTTGCTTGTCAACCGACCCTTGAATACCCTATTTCCATAGCTAGAAAACAACCATCGGATATAAAAAAAAAAACTTGGCGAGGAATCCTAGAAAACCAGCCGATGGTATGGTTTTCTAGGATTCCTCGCCAAGTTTTTTTTCCATCTGAATTGCGTACAGCCGCTAGAAAGTAGTCCTTATCGGTTGCTAGCGGCCCCTTTTTTCGGATCTGAGTAAAAGGCTTGGTATTAAAACCACTTTTTCGATCTTTTTTTATACCTAATAATGACTTTATCTTAGAATTACACGTTTTTAACCTGTTCATATCCTTACTCTGTATATATGTATATATATCAAGATGTATTCCCGTCACCATATTCTGCAAAATTTGGATGAGTAGTGCTTGCATTTATTAGGGCCTGAGATCTCCAGTATTTCCTCAACTCTATAATATCCGTTTCCCATGGTTTGCAGAATGTTGCTCATTCCATGGCCGCGTTTTGGAAAAATGTGGCAATTTCTTATGGCTTTTCTAAGGATAACATTCTCGATTTTGCTAGCAAACTTGTTTTGGAGCTGTGTACGAGGAGGAAGTACAAAATACCAGAGATGGTATTAAATTCAAATGTGCGTTTTACAGCACCGTGCCCCATTGTGTCTACCCATGAAACAATTTCATAAGGAGGGCCCGTCGGCAAAATAAGGGAAATGTAACAATGCTGTCAGTTGTCGAGTGAAAGGGATCTGCGCTGTAGGTGTGAGTGAAACAACAATGGAGTGTGCTAATTAACGCTTTCATGGAATGGGGCTTAGGATTGCCCATTGCAAGAAAATGAATTGAAGTTTTCTTTTATGTTTTGATTTTTAATAATATACCACTTAAAAGTAGTCGTTACTATTGTTTTTTAATATATACCTGTTTTCTTAGGCTCTCTATATGTTCAACAAGCAACCAAACACTGAACTCTAGGGGGAAATGATACGACGAACGCAGCCGACGACGGGCCCGCTTTATATAATTGCCTCATGGTGTCTACCACCCACTAGTCTGACCCCCCCCCCCCCCCCCACCATTCCAAACATCGAAAAGCGAACCGAATCCAGACGACTCCGCATATAACGCATATAATTTAATAGCGGCGGCATCAACATGGTGGACATTAACCTGGAGTGTGTGCACTTTATTGAGCCGAAGACCACCCGGTCCACAGAGCAGCAGCAACAGAATGTGAAAAACGCATACCTCGAGGCGGTGCGCATTTTGTTGGTTCTGCTGGAGAACGTACTCTCCCAGCCGAACAACACAAAGTTCCGCACAATCCGTCTGGAAAATAAGGCCATCAAGGAAAAGCTGCTCTCCCTACCGGGCTGCGAGAGGCTGCTAGATGCCATCGGCTTCAGACGCGCCCCCAATTCCAACTCTTATACGCTTCCCAGCGATGTTTCCTTACATCAGATTCAGAAGTACCACGACGTACTAAGCGAGCGGCGCACGGCTTGGCTCAGTGGAGCCATGCCAAAAGGTATAAAGTGTTTCTATACCCTAAAGATGAAAATTTACCACGGTTCTGTGTATTTTCTTTAGGTCCAGCTCAAACAACCGCCGCCTGCAGCACTCCTTCGCCGTTGTTCATAAAACCATCGGTGCATTATCGGCAACGTATTACCTTTCCGCGAGTGCTGGTAAGCTACATTTGTTGACCGTTGATTGATCAGAGTCGGAACATTTTTTGGTCTATTTTTGCAGCGTACGTCCAATCGATTTTTGCAGTCACTGGAGCTCTATTCAGATGCCGTTATGCAGTATGAGGACGAGCTGCTGTTGGCAGCTGGCCGCAGCTTAATTCCAGTTGACGACCTTACCTCCAAGGCAAGCGAAAAGATGATCGACATGCAGGACCTTATTGCATCTGGGGAGTGCAGCCAGAAAGAGCCTTGCATTCGAGATCTCTTGCTGGTTGAGCTGGTGAATTGGTTCAACACGCAGTTCTTTGAGTGGGTCAACAACATACAATGCCAGGTGTGTGGCAGCGAGGAGAGCAAGCTGCGCCGCACGCAGACTGAAGGTGATGTCCGAGTGGAAGTCAACGTCTGCTGTGGCCAGGAGAGCAAGTTCTATCGTTATAACGACATCTCCCAGCTACTAGTGTCCCGGAAAGGCCGCTGCGGCGAGTATGCCAACTGCTTTACATTCCTTTGCCGTTGCCTGGACTACGACGCGCGCCTGGTACATTCCCATTTCGATCATGTGTGGACTGAGGTTTTCTCGGAGACGCAAATGCGCTGGCTACATGTGGACCCCTCGGATAACGTGGTAGACTCGCCGCTTATGTATCAGCACGGCTGGAAACGCGCCATTGACTATGTATTTGCCTATTCCCGTGACGATGCCCAGGATGTGACCTGGCGCTACACAAACAATCATCAAGAGATTCTGCAGCTGCGCAAGCTGTGTGACGAAAAGGAGCTGATTCAAACACTCAACGCCATTCGAGATAAGCGCCAGCAGAGCTGCAGCGCGGAGCGGAAAAAGTACCTCAGTCAGCGAAACATGTTTGAGGTCATCGGCTTGACCCTTGAGCGGTAAGCATTTAAGCCATTTGACACGGAAACATTCCAATTTAACCATCCACGCAACGCTTTTTTTTACAATTACGCAGCAAACCGACAGAGAACGAGCTTAAAGGCCGGAGCTCAGGAAGCTTGTCATGGCGTCAATCGCGTGGAGAGCATACCTTTACCAACGTGGGTAACCCGGAATTTGTACAAGTGAAGTGCATGCGACTTAAATAAATGCATTGTTTATTTGCAGATTTTTGTGTTTTCTCCGAACGAAGCTGAGCTAAAGAAATACCAGCTAAATTTGCGCTACAGCTGTGCCACAGACACTTACGAACGCTACACCAAAGGTGGGTCCATAATATTTAGGCATGGAATTATTCATGGTATTAATGAAATTCATTATTTATTACATACACGCGAAGATGACGGACAGATTTCTTTGCTGGATACCTATAAAACATGGCAAAGTGCTCAATTTTCTTCGAAAAATATCTATCGAAAGGTAGAGCGAGATTGGAAAATGGCATATTTGGCGCGTTTGGAGGACACGGACTGCGCTGAGATCATTTGGAAATTCGATTTTTCTAGGACCAATCTGAAAGTGAAGTCCTACAAACTAGTATTCGAAACGAAAACATTTGGCGAAGGCAAAATCGCCGTGTCAGTTCAAACCAGCGATGGAAAGGATTTCATTGAGAACTCTAGTGAATTTCAGGTAGTGGCCAAGCTGACGGGCGGAAAGGGCGATGTGGCATGGCAGCACACGCAGCTTTTCAGACAGAGCCTAAGTTCAAAAGAGTATCCCTTCGATCTACAAGTAGAACTTCACTAGAAACCTACCAAAATTCAAGTAAAAATGTAAATATTGATTGACAGTCTAGATACAAATATTGACTATAGGAACCAATAACATATACATATGTATGTTTGTATGTATGGACAGGGTACCAAGTGCCAAGTCCTTTGTAATTAAAATTAAAGGGCATGCCTCAGCGAACATTAAATAAATAATAACATTATGCAGGCATGGTTTGTATACGAATATTACATTATGGAAAAACGGGTATAAGAGTTCATGCTTGGTAACATCCTATGATCTGTTCCCAATGGTGGCTCAGGAGTGTTCGAGCATGATTTTTATACCAGGTACTCGAAGAGTAAATAGGGTATATTATATTTGTGTGGAAAAAATGGATGTACATATGTAACACACAAAAGGAAGCGTTTCTGACCCCATAAAGTATATATATTCTTATATAAGTTAGAGCCACCAAATGTTGCATGGCTGTATGCTCACACAGTTAAAAGTGTATTTCAAAATTTTGCCCGCCCCCTTCCGCCCTAGCTAAAAAAGCGTGTTGGCATGAGAAGTGATGTAGATGACATATGTAGAACAAATGTAAAATATAAAATTTGAAAAAAACCACTAAGGTACAATGTACCATGCATAGTGTATGCCTAGTGGTACCGGGTATAAAATATGTGACGCGTAAGAAGCGTCTCGCACTTCCCTCCTCGTTTCGGTATAATACTCGTCACTTCCTTCTCAGCTTATATCATTTTGTTTTCAATGAATCATAAAGATAGTAAAGTAGGATTCCCCCTGGAAATAATGAACATCGTTTGAATAAGATGTTAGGGTAGTCTGACTTTGGATGGCGTGACGTCATAAGACAAGTCTCCCATTGACAATACCTTTTATAATATTCCGTTTGTTCAAACGGATTAATTACAAGTCCTGAGAGAAGTTTCCGGTAAGTGAAGCTGAGTGACAGTCTCGTTTTCGATAAATAAGACAGCCAAAGAGGAGTCTGGCTTTCTTCCTCGCACCATTAGTTATAGATTGTAGACTTTGTTTAGACCATCTTTACAAATAAAGTAGTTCAAGGGTGTTTGTCTGCTCCGCTGGGTTGTTTTACCCTGTACAGACCCTGGAAAGACTAACACGGCTGAGCCGACATCCTCGCTTCTTAGCTGCGTTGGAAATGTACGGGTACGCATTTTAATGCCCTCTGCAAGATTCTAATCACTATCGCTTGCAAAATATGTAGAGGTAAGTATATATATAACTAAATTGATTTATAATACATAATACTATAGGAGTTTAGACGTAGTCTCCGAAAACATATTTTGAGGTCAGTGTACTAGTGACAGATGGGATTTGGCCGTCTCTGGAAGAAGGAATTAGATTGAGATTGGAAAGTTTGAAAGAAGAGATTTTGTACTCACTTTGTTTGCATTTTGACCACACTTCGCACACTCATCATTATACCGTCGATATCGGTTGTCTTTCCCGATCTGTTCAGAGCCTCGCAGAGGGTCTGGATGAATGGAGTGCCATCCTCAGTGCGATAGGAGACGTAGCCTTCGTAGGTGCTGTAGCACTTGAGAATCTCGTTGGGAGATCCGTTAGGCTGGGCGCTATCTGTCATGAAGCCTCCGGGTTCATTTGCACCCTTGCAGGCCTGTACAAACAACATTTTGGGTTTGTCCTTCAGCGTCCGGTTGCGCAATATGGGGAAAAGCACATCGTCGTCCAGCGAGTAATCAAGATCCTTAGCAGCAAGCCGGTCGTGGCGCGTTCCATGACTCAGGAACACCAGGACTAGGGCACTCTTATCCTCGAAGTCTTTTGTCTCCACTGTAAAAATGAACAATTACATACATCATCGGTTTGCTACCATTACATTCTCGTGCCACTTACACATCCTCACCGTACTCTTGACGGTGGCCAGTGTGGCGTCTTTAATGACCTCCACCTTGCACTTGAGTTGCTCGAAAGTGTTGCGCAGAACCTTAACATCTTGAGCACTGCCAGAACGGAACTCGTTCTTGCTGTCGAACTTTTCGTTATTGAAGATGTAGACTCGGGCGGGTTTAAGCTTTGTCTTTGCCACGATTGGCTTGGCTGTGCCAACTCCGGCGAGCAATTTGGACTTCCCGACCCCATGGGCATCGTGGGCGCCCACGGTTGTTTTTGGTGTGGCCCCAGTGGAGGCGGCAATACTAGTGAAGGATCTTGGTACATTTGTGGAGAACAGCGACTTGGAAGTCGGCTTGAAAGCCTTGGAACCACTTGGCGCACCAGCGACGGAGCCGGTACTGGAGCTTGTGCTTGTGCTTGTGCCTGTTGTTGACTTGGCATAAGGGGACACGTAAGTAATGGCCAGACTTGGCTTTTGGGCGTATGGCGAGACATAGGGCTCGGATGTGCTGCCGGAGTTGTTTGATGCAAAAAATGATGGTGGCCAAGAGGGTTTCCCCTTGGCCTTGAGATCCACACGCTGCGTCTCCACGTGCTGGGTGACGTTGCGTCCGTTCTTCTTTGTCACCGTAGTATGCTCCGTCTTGAGCACAGTACTGGAGCGTTTGTTGTTTGTCGTGGCCTTGAAGGACGGCGTGGAGCGTATTGCCACGCCGTTAAGACTAGGTGGTCGGCCGCGCGATGTAGATGTAGTAGTGGTGGTCGTCGTGGCGCCATCGCCTCCCATTCTCATCTGCGCGAAAAGCAGCTCCAACTCGGCCTGGCTCGGTGTGCGACGCGTCGTGGTTTCCGTTATTAGCGCTCTCTGTGTATGCGTCACCGTCTTACGGGTGGACATGAAGGTGATAGTCTTCTTGTTGCTGTCCGTTATTGTAGAGTTCTGAACCGCCGTGTTAGTCGTCGCTGTGGCGGCGCTGGTGGTCTTTACACGCGTGCGCGGATCCTGCAGCACCAGAGCTTGGCTGGCAGCTGAGCCGCTGGAGCGGTCCGTTTCCTGTTCGTCCCTCTTCTTGCCCCACCAACCCATTTTTATGAATCAATGTGCGTCTCTATATCTCACTCGCGATCGAAAGCAGCGCTAGCTGGTCCGCTGGGGCCAATGTTTCTCTCAGCACTGACAGCCGCACAATATTTTGCACATTGTATGCTTTTGCTCAGAAGATAAGGCTCGATTACTAATTCCCCCGCTGCCGTGACATGTTGCTCTCTGCTCGGTAGAAGAGGAGTACGTGCAGCGGGGATCACCCTTATAGGTGGTAAGTTTTGAATCCACCTCCCTTGGACCATGAAGCAACTATAAAGGAGGACTCACTTACAGCGAGAGCCCTTTCACTCGCACTTATTGACAGCATTGTTACGTTTCCCTCTAAAAAGCCGACGGCTCCTCCTTTATAGTTGCTTCATGCCTGGGACTACGCCAGTGCTCACGATTGTGTATGTTATCAGTTGGGTTTCTCTACCTACTCTCTACAATCAAATACAGCCAACCTGCTGCATACACTCGCGGAAGCTTTTTCTCTTCAGCCAAATGGGACGAAGGTTCTCTTCCAACAAGTTTCTAGCTTTGACTAACTTTGAGATGTGGAACTGGAAACAGGTATTCACTTACTTAATGGGTTATTTCTCATTCACATTCACATAAACATGCATGTACTCATGCACAAAGTCACATATGTATGTATTCGTTCTTGTTTTGTTTTTTTCTTCACCTCGTTTTCTTTTTCCGTTTCTTATTCATCGTTGCTGGTTTCTCTTCTTTTTTATTGACAAAGAACACCAATTTCCAAGAACTGTTCTTATGTGCATACATATGTACATATGATTATGTGTGTGTGTGAGCAAAAATTACAGCTGATCGGCTCGGCGCGAATCAGCAAAAAGCTTTTGATCTCTCAGCTGGGAGAAACTCTTCCGCTTCTGGCAATTTGATTTCACTCTTTCTATGTCTCTCTTCGCTTCTTATCTCTGCTATTTTTTTTTTCAATTTTAATTTGAATACTGAGAACAGCTTCTGTTGTGAATATTGTTTTACTTTGCCAGACGCTTTGGCGACATGACACAGAGCATCTTATATGGGGATTACTTATTATCAGGGACTGCAAATAATGTTGTTCTTAAAAAAAAAACGAGAAGGGACGTGTGAGACGCTTCTTACGCGTCACAACTTTTATACCCGGCACTCAGTACTACATCTGCACCTTAGCGGTGATTTGTCAAATTTAAAATTTTTTCTTCATCTGTGATCTACATCTACAACACTTCTCACACCAACACGCTCCTTTAGCTCGCCCCCGTCCCCTAGACCCACACACTGCAGACTCGCCGCAGAGGCAGAGCTGCGTGACGGGGTGGGTTAAAAGTCGGCAGAGGCAAAGCCAGAGGGGCGGCAGAGTCAGGGGCCGAGTGAATCAGAAGCAGAGTGTGAATGAGAGAATGTGAAAAAACAAAAAAAGCTGCGGGACAGGGTGGGTTTAGCCATTGCAAATTAATTTCTTCATTGTGGCTATAATAATGATCCAATCGGATACAAATTTGGTGATCTGATAGATATGGTCATTCCCTACGGAATGGCGTTTTTAGTTTTCTTTTATCTTCAAAACTGTAGCTTTTGTAGGTTTTCGCCCTTTTGCGGGGGCGGACGGTGGCGGGGCTAATTTTTGAATTACACTTGGTTCAGTGTGAGCATACAGCAGTCTGGAGCCAATTTGGTGGCTCTAGCTCTTATAGTCTCTGAGAATTAGCCGACAAACAAGACCGACGGACGGACAAATGAGTTCATCAACAACATAAGCAATGAATGTTTTCGTAAATGCTGCGCCTAAAGATAAGAGATCGTATTCCTGTTATGCGTGTGGCTGCTGCGTGTGTCGCCTGAAATGGGTCAATAAAGTTAAGCTTTGATACGAAAGAAGAAGATGTAATGCAAATGTGATAATGTGTTTTCGGGTTGATAATGCTTACATTCCAGTCTGTTCAAAAAGGTATCAATTGCTTTATTCGAAATACGGAAAGCGCCTAAAAAAGAGTTGTGAAAGTGGTAAGCTGCGGCATTATTTCATTGATCACAGCTGTGTGTATGTATTTTTATGCATATGAAATGAATTATGTATTTATGAATCTTACCTTAACGCTTATCTTAAGTCAAACCTTAGTTGCATTGGTGCATCATTTGCTTTGGTCATTCTTATCGCGTTGTTAACATGAAAGTAATATTTCGGAGTGTAAACTGTGTAAAGTGTGTTTTAAAGGAAATTATGCATGCAATCTGCAGCGTCATTTGGAACAGTAGCACCACAAAGAATATGCAAGCAAGTTTGCGGATGAGAAGAGTGAAAGTCCAGAAAAAAACGTTAAATTTTCAGTGACGATGTGCCCAAGTGAGGTGAAGGATGCATGTGTTGATCTCGTGGCCGCTCAAGAAATGCCGTTTTCCGTACTCAATTCAGAGAGCTTCGAAGTTCTTACAAGCCAGATTTTTAGTGGCCTGAAAGTGCCTGCAGTAACGTCAAGGAATGTTATTGGCTTGGTAGATGAAAAGAACGAGAAAATAAAATTAGAAATCATGGCAACATTGACGGACCGAGTGCTATGCCTGAAAATGGACACAGCCACACAACCACAAAGAGCAAATATTCTCAATAATAACAGACAATGGCCGCAACATGATCAAGGCAGTGGAGCTATTAAGTGATTGTTCGCCATCAGTAGATGACAGTAGAGAGTTGGATATAGCAGATGAGCAATTGGATGACGAGGCACTGTTAAAGGACGCCAATATATTCTCAATATCGTCAATAAAATGTGCTGCACATACACTGCAGCTCGCTGTCAAAGATTTCTGCAAACACGTAGATTCCCTTGCCTTTATTGAGAAAGCTCGGAAAATTGTTAAGATTCTAAGAATTCCGGCATAAAGGTGGGTTTTGCATTCCACTTTTTTATATTGCAACTAATCAATTTGGATTTTGTAAGGTCTCTTATATCAGCTTACTCATTGCCAAGACCGGAATTGGATGTTTCTACTCGCTGGAACTCCACATTTACAATGCTTAATACATTGCTGAAATTCGAGGACTTTTGCTACGAGCACTTAAGCAGTCCCGTTTATCTTACTTAATCTGATAGGGATTAAATGAAGAATCTCGTGAGCTTATTGGAGCCTGTGTTCGCCGCAACGCTTAAATTGCAGAGTACCAAACTTTTTATGGCCGATTTGCTTAAGTTTTGGTTGGAGCTAAAACTTGCAGTAAGCGCAACGACATATATCCACACCACCATCCTGCTCCAATGCATCAAAAGCAGAGAGAAATAATTGCTCGAAAAGGAATAAGGAGACTACTGTAGCAAACTCCCTTAACTCTCATGCTCGCTAGGGTTCATCTAAAACGACTTATGCAAAGAATATTTAATATGCACTTTGCATTGCATTTTATAATATTTACTTAGATTGAAAACGTACCAACCCCAATCCCTGGAAACTCGCAGCCTTCTACTTCTTCTCAGGCAGAGACTAGAGAATACTTACAGGAAACAAGTACCTGCTCTCTCCTGAACTTTCTTAGTTCTATTGAGGTTGCTTCACATAACGAAGTGGAAAATGATAGTATTGACAAAAATTTGCAACTAGCGTATTGTGAAATAGACAATTATAGCCCAAATCCGATTGAATTAATACAAATATAATGCAATATTGGGAACAACAGAAGTACCAATATCCAAATGTTTACCAATTGGCAAAAGTTGTGCAATCTGCCCCTGCAACGCAAGTCAGTGTGAAAAGAGCCTTTTCTGCACTTAGCTGCAGAAGCTGCTCTTTTTTAAATTAAATATTAAATAAATAAATTTATATAAATAAATGAATATAAATACATAGATAAATAAATATATAGAAATAAATTGCACTGGAAAATATTTTTATTTTGATTTTTTTTTTTTTTATGATTGCTCTTGTCTCACTGATGAAGAATAAATATAACTTTTCCATTTCCTACGTAATATGGAGTCACAATTTAAAGTTGAGTTTTATTTTTTTCTCAAAAATTTTAATACTAATCATTATTTCTTGCGTTTTATTTTTTTCTCATTAATCATTAGGAAATGGAAATGGAAAAGTGAATATTTCGATATAACTTGACAGGTAATCGTTACGTATAATTTTTTTATACCGCTTATAATGATTACCATCCCTTATTATTATACCCGGTACTCGAAGAGTAAATAGGGTATATTGTATTTGTGCACAATGTATGTAACACACAGAAGGAAATTTTTCCGACCCCATAAAGTATATATATTCTTGATCAGCATCAATAGTCGAGTCGATTGAGCCATGTCTGTCTGTCCGTCCGTCCTGATAAGCGTCTAGTACTCAGAGACTATGAGAGCTAGAGCCACCAAATGTTGCATCCAGACTACTGTATGCCCACACTGTTACAAGTGTATTTCAAAAATGAGCCGAGCCCCTTCCGCCCCCGCAAAATGGCGAAAACCTCCCAAATCTACAATTCTGAAAATAAAAGAAAACTAAAAACGCCATTCCGTAGGGAGTGACCAAATCTATTAGATCACCAAATTGGTCCCATTATTATAGCCAGAATGAAGAAATTAATTTGCAGTGGCTAGCCCACCCTGTCCCGCAGCTTATATTTGTTTTTTCACATTCTCTCATTCTCATTCACATTCTGCTTCTGCTGTGTTCTGCGGCCACTGCGTCTGCCGCGAGTCTGCAGTGTGTGGGTCTAGGGGACGGGGGCGAGCTAAAGGAGCGTGTTGGTGTGAGAAGTGTTGTAGATGTAGATCACAGATGAAGAAAAAATTTTAAATTTGACAAATCACCGCTAAGGTGCAGAAGTAGTACTGAGTGCCGGGTGTAAAAGTTGTGACGCGTAAGAAGCGTCTCACACGTCCCTTCTCGTTGTTTATATACATATGTACATATGTAGTATTAGCAGTTTGGATATGGTTTCTGGAAGATTCCAAACGAAAAATATGCTATACTTGTGGAATTCTTTATTCATTATTCTATGCTTCTGGTAGGGTGTGCTGAATCGATGGAACATTATACTTATGATCAGCGGCACGTCCTGCTCCAAATTGCCACTATCGCTGCAACAGAGAATCCCCGAGAACTTTGTGTTGTCGGTGTTCTTTCAAATTCAAAAGGGCTCGGCCACCGCTCGATTAGATAATTTATTAATCTCTAGAATTTCTTGTTATTCCGCTCCGGGTGGAAAGATAACACCATCATGACAAACGCGATAACTCGGCGAAAAAACAAAAAAATATTAATATATATTAATATTTCGATTATTTTCGTTCCATTTTTTGTATTTCCATATAGAAAATTAAGCGTAATAAATATTGAATTATGTATAACATTTCGTCATTTAATGTTATTCTTAAGCGCTGTAAGACACTATGTAAATAGAGTAAATGTAGTTATGCAAAAATATATTTATATTGGTAAATATATGTACATACATACATATATCATTGTTCATTTAGAGTAGTTATGTATGTATTTAGCCTATCTCTGGAGTTAGCAGACATTCATCAGCGTACAAGTATTAAAACTTAAAACGTATAGTCATAGTGTCTACAGACAACGCCACTGGTTAAATAATTAGTTCGTAAAGGAAGGACCCTGCCACACAGGTAGATTACCGAGTTGAAGGCGATAAAGATCCGAAAGTTAACCTACATCTACAATGGCGGAAAAAAAATTATAAACGACAGGCGCATTCACCTTGAATACAAATATTTTGTTTTTGGTGAAAGTTGTTTACATCAAAGCAAGTGGTTTTGGTTGCAGGATATTAGGGCTTTATATAGGACCCTCTTTTGGGCTTCTTTCGTAAGTTTCTTTAGCAGTGTATACCGATTTGTATGAAGACCCCGTGTTCGTCTTGGAAAAAATAATAGAAACGAAGTCTAATCTTTTCATAACTTTTCTTAAAACGGTTTTACGCGAATTATATTGATAAAAAATCATAAACTAACGGCCAAAAAAGATATAAAATAACTTTTACTGTTGATCCGGTTGTGTTTTTTTGTTGTTTGAGCTTCAGAATGGCTCGCGGAGGACATTGTGCGGATATTAAAAGAACAAATATCCTTACACCAGGATATGAAGGTCACACAAAGTCAGATAGTGTTAAGATTCTAAAATGGGTTTAATAAAAGCTTTTTCGATGATTCAGGACAAAAATAACAACAATTTAATTCGACACACCGCCTTCTTTGAAAATCAAACGAGAAGGGACGTGTGAGACGCGTCACAATTTTTTATACATGGTACTCAGTACTACATCTGTACCTTAGGGGTTTTTTTTGTCAAATTTTAAATACTTTCTTCATCTGCCATCTACATCTACAAGATTTTTTACGCCAACACGCTCCTTTAGCTCGCCCTAGACCCGACCCTAGAGCCTCACACTGCAGAAGCAGAGTGTGAATGAGAGAACGGGGTGGGTTTAGCCACTGAACATTAATTTCTTCATTCTGGCTATAATACTGATCCAATCGGATCACAATTTGGTAATCTGATAGATATGATATTTTCCTAACAAATCTGAGCAAATTGACTTAAGTTTCACTTGCCTACAACACATTTTTTTGACTATACGAAATAAATGCACTTAGAGGCATTGAGTACCTTGACTTATTGATTGACTTATTGACTTAAATCATCCTGTCATATAGTACGATTACTAACCGATGCATTGAGATCGTTTTTCAAATTTTCCGAAGAGAGAAAGAATTTTTTTTTTTTCGAACAAGGCGGTTTGTCGAATTAAACCGATGTTGCGTGCATTCTTCCGCGTGTGTTTCGTTATTTTTTGTCCTGAATCATCGAAAAAGCTTTTATTAAACCCATTTTAGAATCGTAACACTATCTGACTTTGTGTGACCTTCATATCCTGGTGTAAGGATATTTGTTCTTTTAATATCCGCACAATGTCCTCCGCGAGCCATTCTGAAGCTCTAACAACAACAAACACAACCGGATCAACAGTAAAAGTAAAAGCTATTTTATATCTTCTTTGGCCGTTAGTTTATGATTTGTTACCAATATAATTCGCTTAAACCCGTTTTAAGAAAAGTTATGAAAAGATTAGACTTCGTTTCTATTATTTTTTCTGGGCCTAAAAACTGTGCAAATTAATTTTTGTTATATTGAAGTCGGCAGAGGCAGGGGCCGAGAAAAGCAGAAGCACAGTGTGAATGAGAGAATGTGAAAATAACAAAAAAAGCTGCGGGACAGGCTGGATTTCTCAATTGCGGCTATAATAATGATCCAATCGGATCCCAATTTGGTGATCTGATATATATGGTATCTTCAACATAGTAGGTTTGGGAGGTTTTCGCCCTTTTGCGGGGGTGGAAGGGGGCGGTTCTCATTTTTTAAATACACTTGTAACAGTCTGAGCATACAGAAGTCTTAATGCAAAATTTGATGGCTCTAGCTTTTATGGTCTCTGAGATCCAGGCGCTCGACAAGACGAACGAACAGACAGACATGGCTCAATCGACTTGCCTATTGATGCTGATCAAGAATATATAGTCGGAAACGTTTCCTTCTGTGTGTTACATACTATTTACTCTTCGAATACCGGGTATAAAAAATGTTCCCAGAACAAAATTTAAAAAAAAATCGAAAAAAATGTTTCTATTATTTTTTCCGCCACTGTATGTATGTATGTATGTGCTAGCTTTATTTATAATTCCTTTTATTTCGCGCCCTCAGTGGCACTTGTCGGCCACAATGGGGAAACGGACAACACGTATTTCGTTGCCATAGTCACAGACCACAGAGTCGCAGGCAAGCATCATGGTCTTGGGGCACAGCTGCAGATTGGCAAAGTCCAGCTTGACCTCGCGGGCCGGCTGTCCGGTACGTACATCCCAGACGATCAGAGATCCTGCCAAAGTCACATAAATATTCAATTGCTTTTCACGAGGCGTCTGATAACGGCACTTACCCATTTTGCTGGTCACAAGCAGCGACGGGGTGAGCATCAAGAGACTCGAATAGGCATTGGAGATGTTGATGGTAGTCAGCAGGTTTCCCTGGAATCGCTCCCACACACAGATCCGTTCATCTGTGCCCAGCGATATCACGTAGCTGGGCGCACAGGCCAGACAACTGACAGCACCGTCGTGAGCTTGGATGTTATACATGCAGGCTCCAGTAAAAAGATCCCAAACACAGAGGAGGCCATCCTGCGATCCTGATCCGCCAGTGCCAGGCTGCCAGCGGTCCACAAACAGGCAAGTTATTGGTCCACAATGTCCATGCAATGTGTACTCCGCATCCGATTTGTTGAGACAATAAACCTGAAGAGAGCAGCGCAGATGAGCATTTGTATGGTGCATTTTTAGGGAAATTAAACCTGCCTTTAACGTGTGATCCTGGCTTCCGGTGAATACCATGTCGTTAACCACCTGCATGCAGGTAATGGGTTGCTGGTGTGCGAGGCGCACTCCCTCCAGCGTGATCTTCATCTCCTCCTTGGTGGTTTTCTGCACTGTGTCCTGCTGGCAGCGATGCTGCTGCTGCTGCATCATAAGGCCCAGGCTGCCGGTCGAGCCAGTCCGCACGTGAGCTAGAGGAAGGAAAAGAAACATCAATTTAATACATCTCCAGTTATCGGCGAATACTGTTATGTGTACTTACTGCGTCGGTACGCGGAGGTGAACCCCCAGTCGATCTGCTTGCCTTTGTAGTATGTCTCCAGACGGTAGAAATCGAGGCGTCCATTGAGGCGCGCTACAATAACACGATCGCCGTTTAAATGGATGTGCGTGATGCCCTGATTGCGCTGGGCATCCTCCTGGTAGGCGCACTTGAGCACGCCTGCCGGGGACTCCCACAGTTCCACACGGCCGTTGGCACAGCCGACGACAATGAGATTATCAAAGTAGTCCAGACACCACACTGGTGAAACGGGCAGCTTCCGCACCAGTGTTTGTCCGTCCTGTCGCGGCTGGGATATCTGCATCTCTGATCGCCCGATACTCGCCAGTCGCTCGCCGCTGCGTGCGTCCCATACGCGAATCTGTCCTTTGAGGCAACAGCTTATGATGTAGGACCCGTCGGAGACCAGGCACTCGATACGATGCTTATGGCCGGCGATCTGCGTGGGAACGCCCTCGAGTATTTGTTCGGTTTGCTTGTGGGGGGCCTCGGACTCGTTCCAGCTGGAACGCCACTCGGCGTAGTTTCTGGTGCAGATGCATCGATAGAAGACGACCATCGTGTAGCAGAGAACGAAAATGCTGATGCAGCACAGCAGGATGGCGAAGAAGATCTCCATGGGACTCTTGGGAACGAGCGGCATTCCGCCGGGCATCACCATCGGGGACTCTCTGCGAACGTCGTCATCGTTGAAGTCCAGCGGATCCAGTGCAGCAGCCAGGGCCTTCCACTGGAAATTCTGCTGCAGCTGCTCCTGGGGATTGCGCAGCAGAGTGGCAAGCTCCGGCGCTATGGCATGACTCAGCCTGATAGTGGGCAGCAGCGTCACGTAGTGGCCGCTCAGCGATATGTTGTACTGCTTCATAATAGTCGACCAGTGGAAATTCGAAAGAAAATAGTTCTGGTCAAAGTTGGGATATCGCAGACGCAGCAGCTCTTCGGCCGTTTCATTAATGTCGTTTTCAGAACGGGGGTCTATTGGTGTACTAAACCCGTTGCTGCTTGGGGGGCTAGTTGGGGTTCGATGCCCATCAGCTTTCAGTCCCTCGAAGAAGCTGCTGACTGCTCCGCGACCCGCCTGGAGGCGCCGCTGCAGCTCCAGAGTACCAGTCATGGTCCCGTTGCTCTGCATGGTGAACAGCTGCTCCAGGCAACCGGAGTTGTAAACGATGGAGCAGATCCACACAATCATCCAGACCATGAAGGCGCGCTGGAAGAAGCGCGTGCGGGCCCAGAAGTTGACGATCTTGATACGCTTGGGGATGCGCTGCTCCTGCGTGGAGTGCCCGTGCCCATTGACCAGGCCTGCCCGCTCTCCGGCAGCGGCATCGGCAAAGCAAAGCTTCGGATGGGACTGCGACCGCTGAAAGGAGCCTGGCACAAACGGAGGCAGGGTCGGAGCGGCGCCGAAGAAACGGAAATCCTGCCGTCCCGCTCCCTGAGTGCAGCTGAGCATCATTTTGGGCAGGTGTTTGGCCTCTGTGGTATACTCCGCCCGCTTGATGTTCATGGCCAAGATGGTGGAGAAGAGCAGCATCTGCAGCATGAAGTCTGAGAGCAATCCGACGATGGCAAAGATGCAGAACTCCTGGATGACGGGCACAAAGGTTGCCAGGCCAATAGTCAAAATGGTAATCTCTGTCAGTAGCGTCTTGGAGATGTGCCACCCCTCCTTGCTCAGTGCCTGTGCGATTCGAATCTTCACATCGAACGTCTCGTCCATGGACACCACACTCCTCGTGATGACCAAGCTGTTCTCCAGGCCCACCAGAATTACCAGGTAGGGGAATATGTCCTTTGACTGCAGGGAAATGGTCAGGCCAAAGAAGAAGCACAGACCGAGGGACATGGCCAGGCTGCCGGCGGTGGTGATGACGCTGCACAGAGCCAGCAGAAATCGGGATCTAAACACATCAATTTTACGAACGGAGAAGTAGACGTAGGCGAAAACCAGCACAAAGGCCACTGTGTAGGGCACCAGCTCCCACATCCTGTACTCTCCCGGGTAGAAGATGTACGTTATGGTCGACGGCTCCTCCCCGGTCGCAGAAATCGGCATCGGCGGATAGTAGCGCAGCAGCTTCTCCTTCAGCGTCTCCAGATAATCCACATCGTTGTGCTTCAGAACCAGCGTCAGGGCATACTGAATTATCCTGGCGCGTGCTCGGAGCGGGTAGCGCTTGAAGCCAGTGTCCTGCATGGGCAGTCCAAATAGCATTTCCGCTGTGGATACCTTCGACTTTTGTAGATTCTGAAACAATAACAGTAGATGAAAGAGGTTATTGAGGGATTATTGATGGCCCTCAAGTCCATCTGGGTTCTAGCCACAAGAGGTTAGTGCGTATGGGAAATGCAAGCTAAATCCTCGTATAAATTTCCTCCTGATTCCCCGGGGAAAAAAATCTTCCGCATTTCGGAGTAGAGTTAATCGGTTTGATTTGCCAGTTAATTGGTAAATGTGAGCGCCTATGCATGTATGAACGTATGTATGAATCCCTCATTATTTCATTATCAGAAATGTATATTGATATATAGTGGAGAGCAATGATGAGTACATGTTCACAATACATGTTAACAAATAGGCAATCCCCGAAAAATACCTCGCTTTTAAATAGCGAAAAATAAAAAACTAAAAAAACTCGCATGCATACTTATTTATGCACTTTCCGTTTTTTATATTTATAAATTTTCTAATCAACAATATGCTCATCTTGAGCTAGGGCAATTTTTTCTTTGCTGTTTCACTCTGATCACCACCGATTGACTAATGCCATGTTTTTCAGCAGTATAAGCTGTCGTATGGCCATTTTCAGTCAGCTAGTCACCCCATAAAGTATATATATTCTTCATCAGCATCAATAGCCGAGTCGATTGAGCCATGTCTGTCTGTCCGTCCGTTCGTCTGTCCTTCCGTCTTGTTGAGCGCCTGGATCTAGAGCCACCAAATTTTGCATTCAGAATTCTGTATGCTCACACTGTTACAAGTGTATTTCAAAAATGAGCCCCGCCCCCTTCCGCCCACCCAAAAGGGCGAAAACCTCCCAAACCTACAATTTTGAAGATAAAAGAAAATTAAAAACACCATTCCGTAGGGAATGATCATATTTATCAGATCACCGAATTGGGTGATTGGATTGGATCCTATTGGATCATTATTATAGCCACAATGAAGAAATTAATTTGCAGTGGATAAACCCACCCCGTCCCGCAGCTTATATTTGTTTTTTTCGTATTCTCTCATTCACACTCTGCTTCTCTGCCTCGGCCTCTGCCGTGGATTTGCAGTGTCTAAGGAAGGGAGGCGAGAACGTGGAGCGTAAAGGAGCGTGTTGGAGTTAGTAGTGTTGTTGATGTAGACGACAGAAAAAAATAAAAATTTGACAAAACACCGCTAAGGTGCAGATGTAGTACTGAGTGCCGGGTATAAAAGTTGTGACGCGTAAGAAGCGTCTCACACGTCCCTTCTCGTTTTGTTTAACATTAAAGTGAGAGGGAGAGTTCGGGAGAAGAGTTCGCTAATTGGGCAACAAGCTCCAGGCTTTTATGGAGATAAAAGTTGACGGAATTTGAACACACACGGCATAAGCTATCGTCAAGTAAATCTAGTCAAGGGTGAATCATACACTCATACAATCGGGAAGATATACAATATAACACAGCCCATCTGGAACTGTCGACATGCATGTATGGGGGTACTTTATGTACGCTCGATTTTATTTATTATTTATTACGCCTGAACAACTCGGTTTAGATACCTCGTTAGGGTAAAGTAAATGCATTCATATATGTACATATGTATGTATGTATGTAGGTACCTATGGACTACCAAAGGTCTTGCAGTCTAGACTGCGAAAAAGCTATGCATAATGCAGTCGCCGCGAGACTCGACTATCGAAACTATAATGTTTGCAGTTCGCAAATACCGAGGGACAGGAGTCGGCGCCCTACTACCTCTCTGCTACAAATTTTTTCAATTCTCTAGATCCCGAAACCAACAGGTGGCGGATGCCATATTCATTTAAAATGTGACTCAGCTTCAAATTCGTTCGTAATCCAAAAGTTAACTGATAAGACAAGCGTAGCGTTCGAGGGTTAAGTCAACTCATTTTCCACTTAGACACGAGTGTTTGGACGATTTGGGGTTTATTAGCATGCAATTCGAATAGACAGAAAAAACGCATTAGGCTGCTCCGGCTGCGGGTGCGGATGCTTGACCACTTACATGATATTGAAATATCGTGTTCAGAATATTCGTGTCTCTGGTGAAGTTTTGAGCGTTCTGCGTCCAGAGGTTGGCCGGGGAGAGGAGCAGACAGCCATACTCGGGAAAGATCTGATCCAGCTGCCCTTGGACCCCGCGTTTCACGTTCTCCACGTGGAGGCAGTTGTGCTCGAGAGTGCGCTGGCTGTGGAGGATTATATGGACGAAATTTGATTCAATTACTTTGACAGTGTCTGGAAGTGGTACTCACGTCTCGCTGCTCTGATGATTGCGCACAATTTCGAGCAATTTAAAAACTTCGTAAAGCGGCGCACGAAACGCATCCATTAGCTGCATCCCATCGCTCCAGGGCAGCACACTGGCTCGCAGTGTGATCTGCTGGACGTAGAAGAGGGCTGGACTGCTCTGCGCCCAGGGGAGCAGCGGGGGCAGGCTGCGGTCTGTGCCACTTCCATTGAATAAGTGCGCTGGGGCATCAGGCGGCGGATCGGGTCCGACCGTGGCTACGGAAGGCGTCAACGCTCCACTGTGATTGTAGGCCAATAAAGACTCGGCCTCGTACGGCAGCACTATCTTTGTAGGTATGGTTCCCGGCAACGGTATGTTGATCAGCGGATAGCTATCAGAAGGGAGTGAGGGAGATATGAAGTGGTGGTTAGCTCAAGTGCTCGGCTGGTTAGCTATTTTAAGACCTGGCGCGTGTTCGTGTTTGGTCTCGGTGTTTCGTCATCTAACGCGTGTCCCAAGCATTCCCACTCTTCGCCTAATCGCCGGCCCTAAGCTTCTACAACTTATACATTTAATGTACATCCTATACATACATATATGATTCTTGATTCGAATTTTAATGTTTTCAAGGTTGACAGGCCATCGGCTGCTTGGCAGCAATGCCACCATTTGGCCACCACACTAATGCGACCACGTCGCTTGCCACTGATAAGCGTCCTGATAAGTATTATTACTAGACTCGGCAGCTACTAAAAACAAAACTCGATGCTGATAAGCGCAGGTATCGGATTGCGCTGATCCAGCTTATAGACACCCCAATCGATCTGATTTGGTTAGGGTTTGGATTGGTCTATGAGTAACCGGCGGAAATGCTCTTCTTTCTCAGGATATCGGATATGTTTAATAGTTCAAAGTAATCTTCAAATCTTCCGAATCGAATATTTCCGGCGTACCTCAAGTCTAGACATTTTTATTTCAAGCTTAGAAACGTATCTAATGCAAACATCCACAAAGATCTGAATATTCCAACAATTTAAGAAGAAATAAAGAAAACTAGTAAGAAATACATCGACAGACTCCACAACCACGAAAATAATTTAGTCTTAAGTCTATTAGACAATAGCCTAACAGTAAGAAGACTGAAAAGATACCACATTCTCGATATCCCTGATAGATAAATCCAACAAACTGAAAAGATGTTATATATAATAGCAGGGCTCATTGGAAAACTGCTATTTCTGTTAATTGAATATTAATTATATAATTTACTTATTGTTTAAAAAAACAGATTGTAAATATAAAGAGAGAAAAAAAAAAACTTAGAAACAAAATCAAAATCAAAATACTGGTGGTTAGTGCTTACATACATAAACTCCCAATCAGACGAATAGACTCACGAGTTTTCGAAAAGAAAAAAGTTTCTAAAAATCCTGCAACGAATGATAGTGGACAAATTTATTTTTCCATTAATCAAGATTCTTTTCCTTATTTAAAAAGTAAAGAATTCGACTTCTAAGTGAAAAAGGTTTTTTTTATGAATTATTTTCTGTAAATACCCCAAAAAGAAGGCCCGTTTTACCGATCACTCGAATAGACTCAATGATGAATTTTAGCAAAATTATTCAAAAGCTTTCTAATACATTTAGTTTTTATGATGTTTGGAGCTTAACTAATAATGTTTGTGGGAAACTTTTTTGGAATTGCTTGGTAATGTCCTTCAGGACATTAAAATGAAAGGGAGGGAGTCGATCTATTCTTTTCAAAATAAAACTTTTATAAAAAAAAACGGATACGAAAAATTCCGGTTTCCGGTGTCATGACACGCGCGACAACAAAGCAAGTATCCTTGCGAGTTTCAGTAAAAGGAGAACTTTTGTCTAATTTCAATATTAACACAATGCTAATTACATTTTTGTAGCATAGAACGGCTAGTTTCACCAGAATACTCGCACGAAATATAACGATAAATTGATATAGAAATCAATCACATAATTTGGAAGTTTTTTTTCTCTCCTGATCAGAATTTTACAGGGATCGCATGAGGATAACTTTTACGTAAAAGATATGAGTCTTGTCAACAATTTTAAGAATTTAAACACTACATAATTGCATCAGACAGGTCTGCAGCTTTAATTGAACCCTTTGAAATCCCTTTCATTTTAATGTCATGAAGGACATTACCAAGCAATTCCAAAAAAGTTTCCCACAAACATTATTAGTTAAGCTCCAAACATCATAAAAACAAAATGTATTAGAAAGCTTTTGAATAATTTTGCTAAAATTCATCATTGAGTCTATTCGAGTGATCGGTAAAACGGGCCTTCTTTTTGGGGTATTTACAGAAAGTAATTCATAAAAAAACCTTTTCCCTTAGAAGTCGAATTCTTTACTTTTTAAATAAGGAAAAGAATCTTGATTAATGGAAAAATAAATTTGTCCACTATCATTCGTTGCTGAATTTTTAGAAACTTTTTTCTTTTCGAAAACTCGTGAGTCTATTCGTCTGATTGGGAGTGTACATATGTACAATAAGTAGTGGTTTTATGGATACTATTAATCCTTCTTCCTATTCTTTCAATAAGTAAGAATTGCCAACCACAAATCAGTTGTCATTACTTCATAATTATAAACTACACATATAAATAAATATGTAGTACATCCCAACAGAAACATACGTATGTATGTACATACATACATACATATGTGCTATTTATATAGGCGCATGGCGAACACCCAGTGTGTGGGGTTCAACAAATTCCACTTATAATCAATAATATTATCAAACTGTGAGTGCAGTTTTGCTAAAATCGAGTATTTGAGCTTTTTCCAGTGACCTGGTGACTGTGGCGGGCATGAAGTGTCGTAGTAATAACAGATTAAGGAAGCACACAAGACACACCTACAGCCAAAGTTAAATACTATTTCCAAACTATTGATTATTTTCCAAAGTTCAAAACTAGTTGCTCATCGTTTGGGTGTTGCGTTTTTTAATTTCACCCTGCTGGTTCTTATTCCTACACAGTTGTATAATACAAATATGTATGTACATATGTACATGCATACATTCATATGTGTGTATATGCCTGTGTATTTGAATATTATCCCACTAACCACGAAAGTAAAATCGCCACAAAGGCTATACTGGAGGCGCATGTAGGATAGCTGGACAGGAAGAGGCCATGTTTGTAGTAGAAATGCGAGACGGCGGCCGGCAGCCCTGCTGACGCTGACGACGAGCTTGATGAGGAGGTGGTGGAGGAGGATGCGGTTGCTGATGCTGCGGAATTTGGGGGTTTGCCGGTTACAGTGCCGCCATTCGGCGTCGATGTGGTCGTCGTTCGCGGCAACGTTGACGCAGCTGCCGCTGCTGCTCTGGCAGAGCCATCTGTTGCGGCAGCCATGTTGTTGTTGAGCTTACACTCACTCACACACAGATACGAAAATGAACTTGGGCCAAAAAAACAGAACAACACTCTCACAATTAGAGGCGCTACGGCGTGTCGACTTTGTTTTAACGAACTTTGTTTTAAACTTAAGTTGTATTTTCTGGCTTTCCTTAGATTTGTACAATTTAGTTGCCGCAAATTACGCAATTCCGCATATGCAACGCATCATCTGCGTAGGCGAAACGCCAACGTCTACGCAGCCGTCGCTCCCAACGAGATATTATTTATATTTATTAATAGCGTTGATTTGTTTGCTGCGGTTGTTGTTCTATTGCTTTGATTTCCACTATATCGATACATTTTCGGTAGCACTTGCTGAAATCCCCAACGATTTGCATTCTATTTCTATTGATTTTTCTTTTTCTTGCGCTTCATTCGCACCTTTTGGCCCCACGTTTTGTTGTTGCAATTAATTTACGTTTTCGCGCATCTTCAGCGCTCACTCACTCACACAAACACAATTATATACTATACACATGGCGGCACACAGCTACAGTCGTTGTATTCTTATTAAAATCTGCGACGTCAACGTCGCTGTCACCGAGAACTTTCAATTAAATTGAAATTCAGCACCGTCGTTGCTTATTGTTATCAAATTATTATAGCTCAAAGCTTTTTATTTCTTTTTATTTGATTAGGCACTTTTCTTCTGATTTCCATAGGATTTTCAGTATTTTACAGCGGCCCGACAAACATTCTACTGCAATCTTAAGAATATGTTTTCGATTTTTCACATTATTTTAGTGCGAACAAATAGGCGCCCGGTTGAATAGTTCTAATATTTAGCACGTTTTTTTTATTCGGGGCAGAATTTTCCCTGCGCTGCGGCACCATGTAAACACAAGCCCAGTGTGACCGGCTCTATCTATAAGATATACCGTCTGACCCTCAAAAACATTTCGAAATATACAAATATACCGTAAATATATCGATCAAAATTATATTCCTCGATTTTGATGTTTGACATTCAACATTGGAGAATATATTTCCGACCATAACACAACAAATGCCATTTAGGCAACATCAACTACCAACTCATGGTTGGCATGAAATTCCAGATTGGTTGCCATCGAAATCTCAACGTTTTTGACATGGTCGAGTTGAGTTTTATTTTTGTATACCTGGAACTCGAAGAGTAAATAGAGTATATTGTAATTGTGCAGAAAGTGAATGGATGTAATGTACAGAAGGTTCAGTTCAGTTCAGGAGAGATCAGCATCAATAGCCGAGTCGATTGAGCCATGTCTGTCTGCCCGTCCGTTCGTCTGTCCGTCCGACTTGTTAAGCGGTGGATCTCAGAGACCATAAAAGCTAGAGCCACCAAATTTTGTATCGAGACTTCTGTATGCTCACACTGTTACAAGTGTATTTCAAAAATTAGCCCCGCCCCCTTCAGTCCCCACAAAAGGGCGAAAACCTCCCAAACCTACAATTTTGAAGATAAAAGAAAACTAAAAACTTAAACTTAAAAAAATTACAAAACACCGCTAAGGTGCAAAAGTAGTACTGAACGCCGGGCATAAAAGTTGTGACGCGGAAGAAGCGTCTCACACGTCCCTTCTCGTTGTTATTGAAACCTATTTAATATTTATAATTATTAATAATAATTATTATGATGAAAACTTAAGAAAAATTATTATTGAATGCATTTTAAAATATAGCTTATAATGATTACGGTCCTTGAATAAAATGCAATTTTTAAATGTAACAGACATTAAGGCAGGTGGTAATAATCGCGCCGATCAAAAACCTATCGATATATTTTTGCGATAAGGGGAATGAATTCGGACACCTATTTTGAAAATATTCGAATTTGTGATTGCTTAAAGACCATTCAAGTTTCCACTCCGGACAGTTTACCGTCTATTATATTTTGATTATTTATTTTTTTCACTTTTCGACATTCACACTTACAGATAACATACTTATTTTGTAGGTATAATTATTATCATCAGAATAAGTTTCTACTGAACAAATTTAATCTTTGAAAACTTTTTGTTCTTTGTTTTGGTTTTGTTTAGAAGTGTAACCTCGTGAGCATGAATTTGTAGCATTAGTTGTATAGTATGTACACGTGTTTTGTTCACCATCTCTACCTCTCAGTTTACAGATCAGCTAAAATCCTCTGTATCTCTGTTTATGATGGGTGCGGGGTGGGGTCTAACTACGAAGCGTGGACCGGATCGGAGAAGACCAGACCACACAGAAAGTTGCTAAAGTAATTTAAGAATTGACATGCATAGTGGGCATACACCATATTGCTAGGCCCTGTCTTTCGCTGTGTACTAGTCGATCCTGGTTGTGGGCATCCTGTATTCCGCCGCGTCGTATATGGCCGCCATTTCCTCCGCGTCATGCGAATGCATTCCACCCGATGATGCCGCCGCTGCCTGTGCATTGTACCGATGCCGCATTAATGTATCTGTGGCCTCCTCTGCTGTGGCGTACTCCTGCGTACGCTGATGATATATGGCAGCCTCCGCCTCGGTCCCTGCCGCTGGCAAAGTCTCACGGCCCACGTTCCTCATCCTCACTCCATTCTCACTGGAGGCGTTCATCCGGCGGCCAAACAGGAGCACGGTTCCCTTGCTGAGCAGCGGGCAGAGCAAAGCCTGATGGCAACAAGCAAAAAGTCTGTAGTTGGGGCCCTGAAATGGGTCAGACATGGCAGCACACAGCATGTGATCCAGATTGATGCCAGTTAACTGGAATATAAACCAGAAGGATAATAACATTGTAAGTACATACACAGCTGCATTTCGACGACTTACTATGGATAGTGGGGAGAGAAAAATAAAATGATAAAACAGCATGAAAGCTGTTCCAATTTTTGTCCAGTGGAAGTCGCCAAGGTCCTCCACGGAGTACGCTCCTGAAATTACCCTCAAAAGTTAGAGTTAAGCTGGGGAAAGAAATGGATTTGTGTACTTCTGTCACTTACCGCTACGGATAATGTAAATGGGTATAATGTAGAGCAGCGCATGCTGTATCCAATACGTGGACTGCTCGAAGGGATAAGTGCGGCCCTCCACCTCGGGGAAGAGAAAGGCCAAGAAAGGGCCGTTCAGGTTGCTCATTTGTATCCGAAACATTGCCGTAGTTGTCTTTGTGGGCTTGGCGGCCAGGAGATAGATCTGGAAATGAGTGCATTGTATTCAGGTGGTGTCTGCATGGGTAATCGCTATAGCAAGACTTGCCTGTAGACACGTCTGCACGTGGCAGGGGTTCAAGGCGAAGATCATCGATTGTCCAGACAGCTTAAAGCCCATCTCAATGCCAAACACCATGGACATTGCGACTAGGAGGAACAGCCGCGTGGGGCTGTGCGATTTTTGAATCTCATGGAGTGGCGGCAGTTTTATGGGGGCTAGACGCTTCCACGACCTGTGCATAATGAAGACAAAGAGGGCCGACAGCAGCACCGTCTCTATCCAGCGTCTCCGATCCGTCATATAGTTTATGCACTCGGGCCCCGTTGTCCTGGGAACCTCAGCGGTAATGCCTCCAACGGCCCAACTCCAGTCCCATTCCATTGTGGACACAGCACTTGTCGGGTAACTGGCTTACTTGTACTTCTTATTTCCGATTCTGTAAATAATATTGACATTGAGCTTACAAATTTTAATATTTATCCACCCATTTTTTATTGATTCTGTCCCACCCATGTCCTAAGATTTGACATAAAAAATTAACCACATTTCGTGCCACTGAAAGGGCAAAGCCGATTTAAGAACTGCTCTATGGGTGTAAGAAAATATTCGAATGCAGTTTTGAATGGTAGAGCATGCAAATACACTACAATTGTTTACATACTGCGTTTAAATGGAATGAACACCATTGCTTTGCCTTCCACCCGGCTAAAGTAAAAGGGGTGGTCTTGCGTCAAAAACGTGAAATATCCATGGATACCAAGCCAGCCCACCCAATAAAGAAAAGAAGAACCCCCTTACTTATTGTTTGGGGGTTTCTTTTGTCTGAGAGTTTGTTTGTTTGTTTGCTACGCTATTCTGGTAGTTGAAAACTCGCAAAGATCGGTTATTAGCGGTGAGCAAATCTTCAAATTCAATTACCGCTGGCCACTCTCCCCTTTGGATCGGTGACAAGGCAGAGGCGAGATGTGCCACTCGCACTCGGAAGTGACCAGACCAACAGCAAGCCTGCTTCCAACAGGAAGGTGTGGGAGAAAACAAGTTCTTGGGTAGCAAATGCGATATGAAATAAATTGGGCACTGCACCGGGGGAGACACAATGAAAGAGTATGAAATCATGTCAGCGCTGACAGTTGCCGCAGCTGTCCGTTTGGCCAGGTGCCAAGACCTGAAGGCCACCCCACCGCAATCATTTCTCCCGACCACCCTTTTATTATATTTTTTTTTAGAAAGCACCGGGTGGGATAATGTGCATGTGTGCATATGCTTAACGGCGAGCCGCGGCGGGGCCAAGTTCGTGTGTACATATGTATGTACATATGTAGGTATGTATTTTAAGACCGCAATGTTTTTAGAAGCACACTTTTGAGGGACAAGCTACCTGCACCTGCCTCTGAATCACGCCACGGTAGTCGCGTCGTCGCATGATCTACTTGAAAGGAGCAAGGAATAGGAAACCAGGCCTGGTCAAGCGTGGAGCAGAGAAGCGGCGGCGGGGGGATCACCCTCAACAGAAGATGTGCTTTTCATTGTCAAGAGCAAGAGAGCACAGCTTGTGCGAGCTTTGAGAGGCAGGACACTGAAACAACAGTAATGCCGTGAGTATATCACCCAAACCAACACACAACCACCCACCGACAAGACAGCAAAGAAGCTTTCACACAAACAACTAACCCGATTAAAAAGCACTGCAGTTGTTATTTGTTTGCCGCCTGTCGGTCGCACAATTATTTTTTCAGCTGTGCGCAGATTACAGCGGAACGAACCCGCAGCCCCATGGGGCGATACAATGTGCACGTTTACTATTCGATATTCCGTTTTCAGCATACATACATACATATATACATATATGAATGTATTTGTCCTCCAATTACCTCTTTCGCACTCTGTGGGCTGATTTTGGGACGCCACGTGGTCTTGTGCAAAGCTCGCCCCGAACCCACTAATAATCACCACTCCGACGAACTTTTCACGCAATTCACAATTCAGAGTTTTCCATTATCGCATGTTTCTCAGCATCTTATGCTCTTGCGTACAATCTGCATTCACTTAATTTTCAGAATTTACGATGCAGTTGTGGGAAAAGAGTACACGCGGATGGCGGAGTATAGCGCGCTGCGGGCGTTTCTGTTGGACAATGTTTTCGGATTGTGGAGACGACTGCGAAAGTCGTTCAAGTCGCGTAGCGGCTGTTCCCTCCCTAAGCTGGTAGTCACGTTTCCTCCCCTACCATTCATTGTCCTTGAGCGAGCTTTCGCTCTTGGTACTGAGCTTTGCTGAGCGACGAATGGCACTGCTTAGTTCTCTCCCTGTCACATTGGGCGCCAAAAATTCATTCGCCGACGATTGTGTACTAGGAGGTGCAACATATGACATTTAAAAATACATATATGTATGAATCTATGTGTCTGCAAATCTACGGTGCGCACTCATAATAACTGAGAATCGGACAAGGCAACTGTCGGACCCAAATTGGATTAGTGGCTGAGAGAGTGACGCAGAGAACTCATGGCAACGTAATATTTCCGGCGTGCCATACCCGTATGGCCAAAGCAAACTTTACTATTCTACAAGTGCATACATACTTATTGACACACATATGTGTCTAATCGTATACCCTCTGATCTTGTTCATTTACTGCAATTATTTACCAAAGTGATTTTTTGACCTTACAAATAGCCGAAATGTTGCAGTCCGGTGACTAGCCCGTCTGGTACCGTTACCCACAAGAGAACACACGTAACTGCAATTAACCGTAAATTGCGAAGAGAAACAGCGGACGACATAGCGACAAAAGCGAAAGAACAATAGACTAGCGGGTACGGTACATTGTGCATTGGATTAGTCGACTACAGAGACCATTTAATTACACATGCCAGTATTAATAATGTGCATCAACAGATAGTCACAATTTATGGGGTGGTGTTTGTAAGAAAGACTAAATATTTCAATGGGCACTTATATGTCTAACGGAGAGTGCTACTACTCGAATTGCCTTGATAAGATTGCGCTTTGTCCAGAACGATTCATGTTTTACAGATTAACCATAATCAAATAAATTCAAAGGAATACATTTTCACATAATTTTAATGGTCCTGATTACCATTTTTATACCCGGTACTCGAAGAGTAAAAGGGGTATTTGTGCACAAAGTGAATGTATGTAACACACAGAAGGAAACGTTTCCGACCCCATAAAGTATATATATTCTTGATCAGCATCAATAGCCAAGTCGATTGAGCCATGTCTGTCTGTCCGTCCGTCTAGCCGTCTGTCCGTCCGTCTTGTTGAGCGCCCATGCTGAGATGCATAAAGCAACTATATAAGGAGGCCTCGTCGGTGGCAGAGTTTCTCGCTGCTTTTCCCAATTCTCAGTGCTCGTTTGCTTGTTGACGCGGAAGGTTGGTTGCGGACAACATTTTTTTTCAAAACAAAGACTACTAACAGGTAGCAAACTATTAAAAACTAAATAATGAAACAATTATCATGTTTTTTCACATTGCCTTCAAATGATGATAGTTTTTTTCCGACGAGACCTTCTTATATAGTTGCTTTATGGATCTCAGAGACCATAAAATCTAGAGCCAAAAAAATGTGCCCCCAAAAGGGCGAAAACCTCCACAAATCTCCAATTTTGAAGATAAAAGAAAACTAAAACCGCCATTCCGTAGGGAATGTCCATATCTATTAGATCACCAAATTGGGATGCGACGATCATTATTATAGCCAGAATGAAGAAATTAATTTGTAGTGACTAAACCCACCCTGTCCCGCAGCTCTTGTTGTTCTTTTCACATTCTCTCATTCACACTCTGCTTCTGCTTCACTCGGCCCCTTCCTCTGCCGCCCCTCTGCCGATGCCTGTGCGGACTTTTAACCCACCCCGTCCCGCAGCTATTATTTGTTGGCTGCCTCAGCCTCTGCCGCTAGTCTGCAGTATGTTGGTCTAGGGAAGGGCGGCGAGCGTGTTGGTGTGAGAAGTGATGTAGATGTAGATGACAGATGACAGATGAAGAAAATATGTAAAATATGACAAAACACCGCTGAGGTGCAGATGTTGTACTGAGTGCCGGGTATAAAAGTTGTGACGCGTAAAAAGCGTCTCCCACGTCCCTTCTCGTTAAAGGTGTTTTTCAACTGGAATATCAATGTTATGTATGAAAAAGTATGCTCGCCCACACAATTTTGTGAAATACTCCAACGAAAGGATGGGAAGTAGCACTTCATATGGTCTGGAAATCATAGGGCTTAACCCAACATGCCCAATATTGTTTTTTTCAAGAATTTGTACTTTAGCCGTACACCCCTATACCTTCAGAACCAAACGCGTAGCTTTCTGGGACTTCTTGCAATTCAAAAATATAAAGCCAGTCGTCAACGAGCTGTCGTAAAAAAAAAATAAAATATATAAAATTGTTTTCATAAATTTTGAGGATATTGAAGACCTTGACCTTGCCTTCGACCAATTTCTTTGATTTTCTCAAGCCTACATTCCACTCTATTCAAAAAGGTGTCATTTGTTTAAATTGAAAGTCTGGAAGTGTCTCAAAAAGTCTTTGAATGTGAGGAGGTCCGGCACTACTATTTCATCGAACACAACTGTACATATGTATGTAGATACAAGTCATATAAATGAAATTCTATTCAAATGATTAAATATTAAATAAACATATGCAAATCTACAAACATCGTTTTTTGTTTGTTATATAATCGCTACAGAGAAATTGGATGATCGCACGACGATGAGTCCGCATTGACCAGGTACTTCAATTTATTTTGGGGGAACATTAAAAAAAATATATTTTACTAAAAATTTTGAACTCAAGAAAGAGTTGTTGGCCGAATGGACAATAAAAATAGAATGATGGATACAGTTTTAAAAAAACTACGCACCGGGAGACAGTTTTGTGTTAGTTTCGACTCCATGCATTGATTGATCTGATTCTCTGAATCAATTTTGCATTTTGACCGCCAAGCAAGAAGAAAATAAAAAAAATTAAGGTTTGCAACATTTGTAAACCACCCAAATTGTAAAGTTATCGGGTGTATGTACAAAATGTAGTTCATTTTATTGTCACGGACCATCAAATAAATAAAATTGATAATTTCGAAGGTCGTACCCGGGACTACATATGATTTGCTTTAAATTAAGCAAAATTATCAAAGTGATCAGTTTCAGGAATCTCCATAATGTACAGCTATCGATAGTGAAACAATTGTGAAGGAAGTATTGTTATCGATGGAACTATTGATCTTTGATCTGGCTGCTATTTTACCTCCCAAACACAGAGCTAAAATTCTGACAGTCAGAGAACTACTGAAAGTAAAGTCTCTAAACCCGACCTTGTATAATGATGTTATTAAATCCACTGCTGTGTACCAGGAATATAGTGATCTTTTCGATAATAATAATGAAGCCAAGAGCCAAGCCCACAGCCTTAATTTGTCCGTCAGTCTTTGACAGGAAAAAAACTGACATCTCAAACGAGGAATGCAATGCGATATATCAAGCTAAGCTTGAAGAATGGGTGTCAGGTGGATGGAACATTCTTCCCACTGATGCATCCATCAATGGTGATAAGACAGGCATAGGTATCTTAGATTACCCTTTAGATAACTTTAGCTATTTGTTCAGGACTGAAAATAGTTCCTCATCTGTGTTTGCAGAGCTTGTAGGTACATTAACGGCAGTTAAGATATCTAATATAAAAAGAGAGTTATATTTTGCATGCGCAAAACAAATAAAGTAATTTAATTACACTGCAAGCACGTGGGGAACATAACCTCTACGCCAGGTAAGTATTGGAGCAACCCTGTAACAAGTTACATATTACGACGTGGCGATTTCCCCCTTGAAAGGCGGGTGGCCAAATAATTCCCCTCTACCTAAGGGTAGAGCGGTAACTTAAAACCTAAAAAAAAAAATAATATAAAAAGATACAGTAAAACTGTAATTCTCTGTGATAGTCAAGGCGCCTTAAAGGCTCTGAAGAGAAATGGATCAAATTCATACTTAACAGACGAAATCCACCTCAACATGGACAATTCCTTCACGAGCAACTTTATTGTGCACCGGATACCCGGTCACAAGAACATTTCCATTAATGAAAAGACTGATATCCTAGCCAAATCAGCCACTAATGTAGGCAAACTATTTAATTTACCCCTAACATTCGATGAAGTAATAAGAAAAGTTAAAAATAAGTTCAGACGGAGTTGTTTTTTACAAAATCAAAGCCAGAAACACCAACAATTGCGACGTTTGCAACGTTCTCGACAATGCGGAACATGAAATCTTCTCCTGCCAACGACATGCCATTATCAGGAAAAAATATAAAACTTTTCATCGCTTTAAAGATCTTAAGGAGCTGTTGCTCACAAAGCAGCCTCTTTTTTTTTTAGAGAATTGTCCAAATTTATTAATGAGGCTAATTTGGAGTTGTGAATCGAAACACACTGGATTTTATGCAGGTCGGGTTAACTCGGTGCCAACGGAAGTCACCTTGGGGAGCAACCTTCTGTTGTTTCTACTTTCTGAGGCAACCTTCTGTTGCAATACACACCTACACCTACACATACACATCAATCCATTTCACTACTATATATTTTGTTAAACTCTTACACACGACCACACTTTAAACTAAGCATCGTATTGTTTAAATTATAAGAACATTGCCCGCCCTCATCAACAACCATCGATAGCAACACTCGTCAACAAATATCGACAGAAACACCGAACATACTCTTTTCAAGAAAATATCGACAGACCCATCATCGAACTGAAGCACCCGGTCAATGCGGATTCATCGTCGTGCGACCATCCAATTTCGCGGCAGCGATTAAATACCAAAAAAAAAAAAATAACAAAAATAAATAAAGTAACTGGATTGCATTGCAGAAAAAATTCCAAAGGTTTTATCATTGACGCCTCACAAAACCTGCTGTCCGTGTGAAAACGGGGAAAACTCTTTAGAGGCTCAAGTCATAGCCAATTTGGAAAAACTGTAAACCGAAAAACACAAAGCAGTGCTGTGTGCGCGTGTGTGTGAATAAACAACAACACCAACACCAACAATGGTTGGGATTATTGATGAAACGCAGCTGTTTTATCCCTTGGGGACACGCATCAAAATAGCAAACAACTACGGGAC